ATAAAACAGTTTTTAAGAGTCAATTGGCACATTAAAAAGGATTATTTTGTATTTAAATTTCAATCATTTTTTGAAAATGAAAAGTTGTTACCCAAGACAAAAAGAAACATTTTACATTTAGCTACATTAATTTACGATCCTCTTGGGCTAATATCACCATTTACTACTCGTGTTAAAACTATATTTCCAATAGGGATAAACTGGAGTGGGATGAGGAGATTCCTGATAGCATTAAGCTCTTATGGCAGTCCTTTCTATTGCAGCTTTCAAAAATTCATCTTATCTGCTTTTCCTAGATACATTATAAAAAAAATAAATAAAGGGAGATATTATATCCATAATGATACAAGCCTTTTCGGACAATTCAATACAAGCATATGCTTCTGTTATTTATATTCGTGTTATTTCAACCTGCTTGCTAACCTCAAAAACTAAAGTTGCTCAACTTAAGACCTTGTCCATCCCGCGATTAGAACTATTAGGTTGTCATTTGTCATCTAAACGTCCTGATGATTTGTCTCATTGTAGTAGTAGTAGATGGGTTGAAGGTTCAGAACTTCTTAAGGAGAAAAGCTATATCTTTCCAATATTTGAATTTGATAAGAATAATTTAAAAGGAGAAGCTAACAAAAAATATAGTAAACGTGGTAAGCCAATTGAGGTAGTTAATGACTTGTTATTATTTACTTTGCTTTGTGGGGAGGTGGTTCTCAAAAATATAATTGATATAAACAGGTATAGCTCTCTACAAAACTTAGTAAAAGTTACTTCATATGATTTACGTTTTACCAAAAAAGTGTTGAAGAAAAAAAGAAGTATTGATGACAATGTATTAACGAATGATATACTGACAGTTAATGAATATAATTATGATTTACATCTGTGCGTTAAAGAAGTTCAAAAGACATTCGTGATGATAAAAAGTTTAATAATATAAAAAGTAAATTTAAATTATTTAGGGATCAATATGGTTTGTTGCATTTAAAAGGACGTTATTGTAATAGTCAAATTTTAAATTTTGAACAAAAACATTCAATTATTTTGTTGAGAAACAATTTTTTATGTTGTCTTATAATTCAAGATGCTCACAAAAAAACATTCTATCTAAGTGTTGAAAGCACTCTTAATGAAGTAAGAAAATTATTTTGGATTACACAAGGCCGTCAAATGCCGTCAAATCTGTTATACAAATGTTTTACAAATTTCGAATACATTCAACTTACAAAACTTAGTCAGAGTTACTTTATATGTTTACTTTTTGCCAAAAAAATGTTGGTTTACGTCTGTGGATATAGAGGTTCAAAAAGACATTCGTAATGATAAAAAGTAAAAGGTACATTTAAACTGTTTGAGGACCAATATGGTTTGCTCACAAAAAAGTATTCCACCAAGGTGTTGAAAGCACTCTTGATGAAGTAAAAAAATTATTATGAATTACACATGGAAAGCTGTCAAATCTGTGTTACTCAATGCAAAATTTGTAAATTTTTTCAAGGGTAAACACTTACCAAAACAATTGAACTTGACCTTCCTGAATTTCGAATACAACTAGGAGCTTTAAATATACGGGACTTGATTATGCTGGTCCATTGTTTATAAAGGAAAACAACGACAAAGCCAATTTATTAAAGGTATACCTTTAATAAATTGGCTTTGAAGGAGTCTGAAGATCATTTATTAATTTTAAATGAATGGCTCTAGTTGTTGAACTAGTTAATAATAACACATATTTATATGTTTTATTATTAACTAGTTCAACAACTAGAGCCATTCATTTAGAATTAACAAATGATCTTCAGACTCCTTCATTTCTAAGAGCTTTATAGATTTATATCGAGAGGAGGAAGTCCAGAATTTTTAATAAGCGATAATGCAAAAACCTTTATGTTAAATAGAGGCATTCGAAAACAGTTCATCCTTCCTGGTTCACTTTGGCGGGGTAGTTTTTATGAGCGATTAGCTCGTTCTGTAAAACTTTGTCTCAAGAAAATGTTACACAAGAAAATAGTTACATATAAAGAGTTGTCATCAGTTTTATGCGAGATTGAGTATGTGATAAACCAGCAACCGTTAATTTATGTTAGTGATGAGGAACTAAGTGAGTCTTTGACCCCATTTCATTTAATTTTTGGTGCTGGCATTTCTAATAGAGAGAGTATAGTATCTAAAATTGCACTGATTTGTTTATATCCGCAAGACTGTTCCAATTGAACAAAGTACATTCGAAAATTATTTGAAAATATTTGGAACAGATTTTACAATAGTTACCTGAATGAGCTAAGACAACGCAATCTGTACCGGAAAGAATGCTCTGCCTCAAACAACTGTCAATTAATCGTAGCCGATGTAGTTTTGATTAAAGATGAAAACAAAAATCCGCGTGGTTTATGGAGGATAGGAAAAGTTGAGTAGTTAATTCATGGTCAAGAAGGGATTGTGCGAGGAGCAGAGTCAGCAGTTATTTCTAAAGAAAAAAGGTGTACAAAAACTATCAGGCCTTTACAAAAATTAATTCCGCTAGAAGTTAGTGGTGAAGCACAACAAGTTAACGCGTTAACACAAAATACTCGTTTTAGGCGAAGAGCAGCAATTGTCGGCCAAGAAACTAGAAGGATCTTAAATCAAATTTTTTAAAATGACGTTCTTATATCATCTATTGTTTTGTTACTATATTTGTATTGTTGACTACGACGGTGTAGTTAACGGGGCGAGTATGTAAAATCTGACACGAATGAGTTTTCCCGCTTAGACGCTCCTCCATGCCGCATGGCGTAATATTTGTAACTATAATTTTTTTTTTTAGTTGTAAAAGAGATAGACGTGTAGTATATGGTTATTTTTTTGAGTTGTTATTCTCGCCTTATTTCTTTCTTAAAAAACAATGATAAAAGAGTTTTTAAAATGAACATAATAAAAGTCATCACAATAAGGTTTGCGTCTTAAGTAATGAATTTAGTCGATATAATTGCATGATCAGAACTGTAGATACTGACGTCGTTGTCATTGGTAAAACTTATAAGGGGTCGTCCATAACTTACATTACGCTTAGGGAGGTAGAGCTAGGTGATTTTGTGACGGTTGGTTACGAGGGGAGGGAGTGAGAGTCTCGAACTGTGACGCAACATTTTTTTTTTTTTTTAGAGAAGAACTCTTTTAATTAAAAGAGTATCTGACTAAACCAAAACCCTCAATTGATATATCTACATGTTGATTGTAAAATCAACTACGCCTAAATCTTACTTAGTCGATGTGTACATTCCGTTAACGGAGTATACACTTAAATAACAAACAAATATATTTTAAATAACAAACAAATATATTTTAAATAACAAACAAATATATTTTAAATAACAAACAAATATATTTTAAATAACAAACAAATGTATTTTAAATAACAAGCAAATATCTTTTTCTGAAAAAGTCCTTAACCTTAATTTAAGACTTTTTCATAAGCTACAGTTAGAAGAATTACGGACGTGGTTCAGTACTGACGAAAATCAACGCTTTTCTTCACTGCACAATCTTGTATAATGGCTCGATCTCAAAATAGCTTTTTACCTCTATTTCACGCAATGACAGGTACCTCCTTCGCAAGATACTTTGCATCTGCAAATCTATTAAGCTGTTTACCAGACTTCGTATAGCTGGACGCAATCATTGTATAAAAAACAATCTTTATCTAATTTATGTGAGCCAGGAAGATAATATTTACCTAATTGTTTGGATGAAGATTCCAGAAAATTCGAAATTGTGCAGGGGCTGGAAAAGACTGTTCAGGTCTTTGTAAATGTGAAAAAGGATTACTTCCATGTACCATATCTTGCAAATTTATTTATTTTCTTTTTAATTTCTTT